TTCTTCTTTCCCCATTCAAGCCGTTTCCAACCATTATTAGTCTCAAAGTGGGTTCCTCGTCATCGAATCACTCCCAGTAGTTAGTTAGGTAAATTATGATTTATTCTTGTAACAACCAATCCTCTAATGAAAATGACATTTTTACAGTAATACCGTTATCAACCTTTCCTGTGTTATACTATATTGAATACATAGGGTATCCAGAGGAGCCCACATGGGTAACCACATCCGGGCTCACGTCCTGTAGTAATAAATTTTGGGGCAGTTTGTACAATCATACATTGTTCCAGATACAAAATTATTTGGGCACGTGAAAAGCCTGGGCTCGTGGACACTATCAAAATCATGCTTATGGCCACCTCCAATGGGACTTATTTTTGTGTATACTGTAGAGTTCATACTGTCTGGTCTTACAGGTGTGGACGAGTCTCGAATCTGTATCACTATATTTTATCCTATGTTACAATTATATTCACTATACTGTTTCCATGCTTCTGTTGTACTAGCTGTGGAATATATTCAGTATTTCTGCTCATAGTAATTGTGGTTCCATTCTTGTTTCCAGGTCACTTATTACTATTCTTACCTTGTTTTGTTCCTTACATTTAACCAAAATCTCCATGAACTTGCTTTTATTTCTTTCCATACTCCTTTTAGAAACTTTCTTTGGCCTTCTAGAAATGCTATGCTACATTATTTCTTGCCAGTCAGTCTTACTTCCATTTTTTTTATTCCTTACATTTTGCCTTGACTGTATAGCCCATAGCACTGTTTGTCCTATGTGATCTAAGTTTTGATGGTATCTTGCTTTACGAACATTACAGTTAAGTGCATCAAATATTTTTTATATGTATCTTTCTTCCGCTTGTGTTAACGTCTAATTAAGTTTTGTTCCAATAACTAGGTTATTAATCTATGTTTTGATAGCAACTTCTATAGTTACTATATTTCACTTTTTGTTGTGCACATCCATATTATAACACAACAGAATCACTTTTCCCAGCAGCGAGTTAGCTCTTAAGTTTAGAACTATATTTCTTCATTACTAAATATCTATTGATTTCAGTTCTTGTTGTCTCTAAAGTGAGAAGGCTCTTGAACATGCTATGGAATATATAAATTTAAGTTTTTTTGTATATTCTTGTCAAAATACATTAATAAAAAAAGAAAGTTAATTAAATTTTGAATGTAATTGTAAAAGCATCATGACATGCACACTGTGATCAATCCATATCCAGAGAATTAAACAGTAAGATAGCACAGAAAGTTACAGGACTTAATTCGTGTGCCTTCATATGGAATAGTCATTTCACTCTTTAGCTGCTTGAGTTACGTAACAGTTAAAAGAATATGTCAAAGAAGCAACTTGTGTTGCTTTTCCAGATGATGATCCTTTTTATGTTGCATCCTGTTGGAACACATGGATAGCTTCTGCCACTGACCTTTGGATTTGTGGATTCTCACCTGCTACAAGATACCACACATTACTTACCATGGCTGGAGAATAACATGCTGCTGGTCTCTTTTTAGATGGTTCTGGTACCCCAAGTTGGTCCATATTCCTTTGTTTTCCAATGCCATTAAGAGCATGGAATATCTCTGTCTAAGAAATTCTAAACCTCCAATCTTATCAGACCTTTATGACCTGAGTGTATGAATATTTGCTTTTGAAAGGGTCATTACATACCCTTCCTAAAAGTTATCAATTTTTCAAGGCATCACACTACCAACAAAATGCCAAACAATGTCTAAGTGTAATTCTAATACATTCCATTCCATCAAGATGTTAAACAGACTGTGTCATATTACTCTTTTTAGCACATTCAAAATTGTTTCAATATAATATACTCAACTCTGTAGTGTGGAGACCCACATCTCTGCCCTACCATTCTAAGTGTTATTTTTACCAATCCCAAAACTAATACCTATCCTCCTCCAGAAATTAAAATATATGTAAACAGTTGAAAGAAAATACATTTAAATCTTATAATTACTTGAGTTGAAGAACTAGTACAGGTTTTATGCTGAAAAATAAGTATTAAATTCATTATATTTTGAAAAATAGTTTCATAAAGCTATCATTAGTAAAACTGTTAGAATTGTCCACATGGTAACATAATGGCAATGTCTAACTTATTAGGCTTAGTTACTGAATTTCAAAATAAAATGTAACATTTATCTCCTGGTGTAAAAAATATACCTTAAATCTTCACGTGAGATGTCCCAGCCACTAAACTAAAAAACTCAAACCAAGCTCTTATCATTTAACGTTTTATCGAGGTTTCCCTAAAACTTCCTTATATTTAATGCATTCATCATGTCTACAGGCAACTCATTCCATAGGCCAATCACCCTACAAGAAAAGTAAAATGGTATTTGCTGAACATGGCTCCTACCTTGTCAAAATTTGTGCCCTCTATCTAGTACTACCATTTTCACCATTAAGTAAAAAAAAAAAGATGATGCATCAACACTATCAATTCCCTTAACAATCTGAAACACTTCAATCAGATCCCTATAACTTTTGTTCAAGAGAAAACAATTCCAAGGGTTCCATTATGACAACCTTTCCATCCCAGACATTATCCTGGTAACCCTTTCCAACAATTCAATGTCCTTTCTAAGATAAGGAACTAAATACAAAATAAATACTCCAAACAAGGCCTAATCAGTGACTTACACAATGAAATTATAACCTCTTAAGACATATCTTCAATATTTCTGTAAATATGACCTAAAATCATATTTGACCTGACACTAGCAGTTTCTGTGGTCAAATAAAACACCACAATTATTTTTCTTCCATAATAATGTTAAGACTATTCCAATCAAAATTATACTCATGACAAAAATTATGATTATCCAGATGCATTACCTTGCACTTATAATTAAAAGCCACCTACTGTTTATTTGCCCAACTCATTAAATAATCAAAATCCTCTTGTAAAGCAGCAGCATCCTTTTCAAAGCCAGCAACACCCAAGACCTTAATATTATCAGTAAATTTAAACAACTTATTTACCATTCCTTCATCTATGTCATTGATGTAAATCAATAACAGCAGTCATCAAACACTGATGTAACACACTTGTAAATTAAACCAGTTTGATTGAATTCAACTTATCTCCCAAATGCCCCACACCTATAGTTTTTTTAAGCCTTTATGTGGCACTTTGTCAAATGCTTTCTGAAAATCCAGATACACCAAGTTGACTATACCCACAAAAATTTTAAACTTTGTTAAATAAATGTGGAACTCATTTTTTATTAGACTTTCAAAAACTTTTTCTACCACTGATGCAAGACTACTGAATAGGTCTATTATAACCTGGACAATTTTTACCACCTCTCTTTAAAAAGAGGAGTAATAAAAACCAACTTCCAATCTTCTGGCACCTACCCACCCACTGTTAAAGAATGTTGAAAAAACAGTACCAAGTGGTTCACAGATACAGTCTTTAATCTCTTTCAGAGCCCTTGGGTAAATACTATCTATCCCAGAAGCCATATTCTTTAAACTTCATAATTATTTTATCAAGCTAAGAATTAATGTGATTGAAACCTTATTCCTTATACTCATTGCAATTCAAGTTTCACTTGCAGCAACCTTTTTCTCTCTAAGGAAAATATCTAACTTCATTATTTAAAAACACATTTTAAAATGTTCCAAAGTTCATCAGTATCTCTAATTAATTCAGTTATCCAATTTTTGTTGAATCTCTAAGTTATCCACTTTAAAATCTGCAACCAAAACTTTCTTATCCCTGATCTCCATTTGAAGTAAAACATCAAACCTAATTAAGCAATGTTCCCAAATCTCCATTCTTTCAACAATTTCTATATTAGAAATTAACAAATCTAAAATATCATTGTTCCTAGTTGAATCCTTGACCAATTGAAGAAAATCATCCTGAACAGTCTCTTAAAAACCTGTCTTCCTGGTTTGAATATAAAATGTCCCAGTCTGTATGCCTAAAAATAAAATCCCACATAATTATGACCTCATGAACAGCTAAAATCTGAATCTCACTTGTAAAATTATTCACTTATCTCATCAGTTGCATCTGGTGATCTCTAGCAAATTCAAACTAAAATCCTTTCCCCATATCTTCATTAACAGAAACCCAAATCTTCTTGTTACTACTTTCAATATCCTCAACTTCAACAGGATGTAACTTGCATTTTACATGTACAACCACTCCTCCCCTATTTTTATCTTTTTCCCCCTATTACATAACTTATGGCCTGCACTTCAAAAACATTTCTGTTATAAAAATTGTCTACATTTAACCAAGTTTAAGTTATTCCAATTATATCAAAATACTCCATTCCAATTAGTGCTCTAAAGTCATATATTTATTTCTTATACTTTTAGTACTACAATAGTAACAATTTGGCCTATCTCTAAAAATATACTTCTGTCTGTTGTTCCAACACTACACTTTTCTCCACATCTTATTTTTCTATTACATTCGTTCATTCTGGCTCTCACCACAATCTAGTCCTAGTTTAAAGCTGCTCTTCCAGCTAATTTAATATCCCTTGGAAACAAGCCAGCCATATCTTATTTAAATTTTAACCATCCATTCCAAAAACCTTCCTTTTTTTCATCAAACTGATCTCACGGGTCCAACCAGCCAGTTTGCTTGTCCTTACATATGAACTTAAATCTAGCATTCCGTCCTAATAACTACTTCTAATTTCATCAACACAGTTAAGTCTTGGCAGAATCCCCGACAGATTTAATTTATGGCTCTTTTCTTTAAATGCCCGTATCAACCCCCTGTGCATATCATTTAGCTTCTCTAACCAATCCATCCCTACATCATTAACCCCTTTGTACACAATAAACTTATAAAGATTGCATCCCTGTTATCACCCCTCACAATATCACTTGTTCTATCAGTTACATCCTCCACCCCTTCCCCCACATAGCATAATCTATTTCTTAGTCATCCCACAAACCAATCTATCCACCTACCATACCAACGAATCATCTTTAATTATAACCTCAAGTTTTTCATTACCAGTATAATCTTACTATCTTCCACCCTTTTGTTTTCTTTTCCATCCCATAGATTTTCATCTACATAAGACTGAAATCTGTTACTTAACAGAACCTAATAATTACAATTAAATCAACTACTTCTAAGATCTAGCCTTAACATAAATTATAAATACTTTAGGTTTAACTTCCTGGAACTAGTGGAAGTCATTGGCTACTGTAAGGTCTGCCTCCCTTGTACATAAAAGTTTAAGTCGTGTTGCCATTTTCCACAGTTTACACTTCTCTTTATCTCCTCTACTATTTACTAGGATAGTCTCCAATTTATCCTCCAATCTGCAAACTCTACAAATAAATTGCACAACTCTGTGCTTTACTTTAGTTTAGGGTTAGACTCTAGTCTAAGTTAAACGTAGGCTATAAATTAAAAGAACTACATTTTTAAGGTTTATCTATAAAAGTTACATTTTCATAAAATAATTTTCTTGGAATATTGTACTTACGCGAGAATAATTCATGACGACTTATTTTGTTAATGTTACGAAGGCTACAATTAATTCCTATCGTCTCCCAAAATCCACACCACAAGTTGTAGTTATACTGCTTTGACCTTCTGAAGCAAAGATGGTAACTCGACTATTAACTAAAAGGGGGCGATGCAGTCAAAAGCTAATTTTACAAGTAATTTTGATGACAGAAGTATTTTTGAAATACATCAAACAAGATGACTGCATTAATTCTGAACTGGTTAAGAAAAATTGGGAAGTTTAAAAAATGATAAAGCCTCTGGACCACATAATATTTCCTCAAGGGTTTTGAAGGAGGTTAAAGATTAGATATGTGAGCCATTTACTACTATTTTTTGTCAGTCCTTGAATAGTGGGCAGGTACCAGAGGATTGGAAGTTAGCTAACGTAACTCCTCTTTTCAAGGGAGGTGATAAGAATTGCCCCAGTAATTATAGACCCATTAGTCTTACATCAGTTGTGGGAAAAATTTTGTAAGTCTGTTAAAACATGCTTTGCAAAGTCATTTAACAAAGTGTAGAATTTTACTGGATAGTCCAATCATTTTAATTTAGTTTTGAGGATGGAACAGTCGAGATGGACCAATAGGTCCCATGTTGTCCCAAAATATTATTTTATGTTATGTTATTTAATAGGAATATAGTACTAAAGAGAGAGAGGAGAGTGGCTTTATATTGTTGCGTCAGCGAGGTCACGTGACTAGTTTCATGCCACGTTTCTAGAACTATCCTGTTCCTTCGTGAATGCCCTAGCATTTACTAGATATATGTTAGTCTGGTATATATATAAGACGCTCACAACGCGACGGGATAGTGTGTGTAGGTAGTGAGTAATTGAACTGCAGTCAGAAAGTATTGTTGAAGTTCGTTGTTATAGCATTGTTATAGATCGACTGTTGAAAATAAGTGTCTCGGTAAAGTTATATTCGGAAAGAATAAACCAGTTTTATTAAGAAAGGACTTGTGTCGCTAAAGTTTCGTCGGAACGAAGTTACGAAAAATCAACTAACGACTGGAGGCGTAACAAACTGGTGTCAGAGAGTGGGACAAAAAAAATGGAAACGAGAAGCGGCAAATCAAACTACAGCATAGCAGACTTGATGGCAGCAATTCAAGAACAGCAAAAGAAACAAGAAGAACGAGAAGAGAAATTACAACAGTTGTTAGAGGAAAAAGAATAGAAACAAGAAGAACGAGAAATTAAACAAGAAGAGAGATTACAGCAGTTGTTAGAGGAAAAAGAAAAGAAACAAGAAGAACGAGAAATTAAACAAGAAGAGAGATTACAGCAGTTGTTAGAGGAAAAAGAAAAGAAACAAGAAGAACGAGAAATTAAACAAGAAAAGAGATTACAGCAGTTGTTAGA